CCAAGGCCTGAACACAACCCACTCACAACCTCCATCCGCCACCCCTCCCTTAGGGCTAGCCCTAGCAGCATGATGGATGGGCTCCAAATGGCCCCTGCCTCCCGGACGCTCTTGATGGTGGCATTGCTCTTCACGGTCAGCAGCACTTCCTGCAGCAAGGCTTGCACGTGCATACTGTGATGTCAGGCGAGGCAGCCGCTACCAAACAAAGTCCAGGCTTGAAACGCACGGAGATGCCTGTCCTCATTGGCCTCGGGACCTTCTTGAACAGCATGCCGCACTACAACCTGCACCATAGGCATTTGAGCTCGCATCGCGCAAACTGAAAGAATGTTTTGGAGCCTCGATGTCACGGACAGTGGCCGTGGCACGGGTTGGTGGTGTTCGTGGCTTGGGCTTTGATCTCGCGGGCGCCTCGAATGTCGCTCAATCTTTTGTGCCCATAGCAGCTTCACCAACTCCACCGAAACCCAGGATTTGACATCGAGCTTTTGCTAGCTTCACCATTTTCACTACAGCCTCAGCTGCTATGTTCTGCAAGGCTGTTTTGGCTTCGCGTAGGGCAAGGCTGCACGGGCCATGCGATTGAACCTTCTGTAGTGTCTCCACATTGTCACGCATCAGAGACACAGGTACAACGTTTCCAGGGCATGCAACACCGATACATGACACAGAGCAGCTGTTCAGAGTTGGATCTGCCATCGCATTGATCATGAACTGTGATGCAAAGACAGGTTCAGTGACACAGGCTGTGATGCAATCGGTTTTGATACACAAAATGCGTGCATGCCCCATATCCTAGATTTGTGTCAGTCTCATGACCCAATATGGTATAGAGCGAGACCGCATAAGATACGAGAGCCCCACAATCTATAACCAAGGTGTGACATAAGCCAGGGTGTGACAGCTGTTGTTGAGTTGTGATGAGAACTGAGTGGAGTCGGATACCGTCATGGCTCAGCAGCCATTCGAATGCTGTAGTTTCAGTATGTCTGCCTTGATGGCACACCGTAAGGACATGAGATACGGCAGTTGACATGCATGCAAATAAACCAGGATACGGTATCAAATCTTATCAGGTCGGAAAAAACTGAAGTCCATCAAGGCGAGTTTAAACGAACTAGAAGGAACTGCTGGTCATCAAGAAGTTGTATGTATCATCACTCCATTACTTGGAAAAGGCGGAATTCATGCAAGTTGGTGCAATACTGCCGTCCGAAACCACCTGAGACTGACAATAAATATCTTGTAACATAAAAGACATGAGGCTTGCGATAAACATCGTTATGGATATGGATCATATAAGCCCAGTAGAACGACCCTTGGTGACCTATACAACTACCAAGCTTGCGAGGAATGCGGGAGAAGCTGTCTGGTAACCAGGCCTGTGCAGCTGCTTCAGCTTGAGTGGGCTCTGCCATCTCTTCCGCAAAGAGGAGATGATTCAGCACAGCGCCCTGGGACAAAACGTGTGGGTCACAGGCTATCCCTTTCCTCTTCAAGTGGCGTTTCCTCCATACCAGTGAACTTCTCGTACTACATTGATGTGAGAAAATGCACATGTGAATCAAAACAACATGTTCGCCGTGCTAGCAGCCTAATACATACAACAGCATTTAGCCAAGAGCAACATGACGGTGTCATGTCTCGCCCATGTCTGTATGTAGGCTGAGACTTCCTGAGAAAACGCGGCTACAAAAGTGAAGCTTTGACACCAAGCAGCTTAAGATCCTCCACAGCAATGCACATGCAAAGTCGTGACAAATGAATACCAATGACAACAAGGCCTGCTGCTGGAATTCTCCGTTAGAGGTGATCTCCGGTCGGTCGAATTGCTGCAGCATGTCGAAAACGCCCTGACGGTCGCGAGGACGCAGAAAACATTGCAACCAAGCAAAAGGCACAGCCTTTGGGTTGCCCTCGAAGCCATACTTGGGCAGGACCATGCTTCTTAGCCGCAGGCCCAGCTAAGAGATCACAGAAATCATTGCAACATACTACTCTAGACCCCCTTAAAAACCCTTTCGTAGTCGCCTATAGAATCAACTAGATCATCCCCCTTTGAGGATTTAGACAGCAGCTCACATCATTCAGCTGACTGCAGGCATGCAGCTGCACCGTGAGGAAGAGCTTCTGCCGCTCTGCACTAAACCTCCTCGGATCACTGTGCCTCAGTGAGGCAACCAGCTCCTGCCAGAATGGCAATCCGAGTGCAAGCGACGGCTTCGTGGGCTTCGCATGGCTTGCTTCTGCTTCTCTGCTTCCGTCACAATGGACCCGTCCTTGCGCTTTTCCTGGAAGGCCGGGTCGGCAAAGCCCTGCAACAAGTCGCGCCTCGGTGCTCACATTTACGCTATTTGCTGCAGTCGAACGTTGATGCTGGCGCAGGCCGAGGAGCTGAAGAGCGAGAGCCTGCGAAATCGAAAGCTTCGGTGGCTCGGGGGCCACCGCCTTCGCCTGCCAGCACGCACAACACTTCGCACACCGCCGAAGCGACGCAAACGCTGCCCGCCTCTGGCTTGCGTGCAGCCGGCATGTCAGGACTAGCCGCCGTGGAACTTGCCTGGCGTAGCATCTGACATCCAACTAGCGATGGTCAACGGAACATTCAACAGAGGGACCTTCTCTGCAGCAGGCTCCTCAGGGGGCTCTTCGCCAGCAGGCCTCGGCAACATTCAGCAACAACCAAGCAG